CCTTGAGAGAAAGGGAAGTCTCACATTTTGGGGAGTCATGCCTGGAAATGCTAAGAAACCACTACAAGGCCTCTGCTTACACCTCAATTCCGGGGTCCCTCACCCCTCCTCCCAATATACAACTTTCTCAGGCCAAAACCTCCAACCTCGCACCTGCCCCCTCCAGCTTGGGGTCTTGGGTCCTACCTACTCTTAGCCCTTCCGTCTACTTCCAAGGCCGTTGCCAGCTCAACGCCTGTCTTCAACGCCTGAGCTCAACGTCCAGCGCCCAACGTCTGGTCCCCAACGACCGAAGTCTTGTGACCCCCACACAGCCCCCCCCCCCCCCCCGGGAACCCCGCCCCGGCGCGCCAACCCTGACCTGGCGAGACGAGAAAGGGCCACCGACACCGACCTGACTCTGCAGCCTGGCCGTGGCTGCGGCTGTCTGTGTCCAGGAACTTAGGAGCTCAGGGGTGCTCCTTGTGCTCACCTGGTCTCCAGTGTCCAGACCAGCCCCCGATTTCTGCTCCGGGCCTGCGCTATCGGCGCCCACGTGCGCGCCACGCCTACACACGCCCCCACGTGCACGGGAGGCTTCGCTCAGCCCTCCTGGCCAGCTCTGAATGGCTAGTGCTCCAGAGGCGCTGCAGGGTATGCGTCTCAGTTCTTCCAGACTTTGTGCAATTACTGTTTCACTTCTGAATGTACCCAGGAGCTCTGTGAGCTTATTTTGAGCTCGAAACCTTAGACCTTGTCTCTAGGGAGGCCTTTGAGGTTGCTTTAGCCACGTAAAGGTCTTTGAAAGCCTCCAAATTAATGTGCTGCTGCTGCCTGGTCTCGGAAACTGAGCACACGTGATCATTCTTTTTTTTTCAATCCTGATCAAGGGCACGTGATCATACTTGATGATGTTGCTTCAAGAAAGTATTTTTTAACTTTTTATATTTTTTTCTTTTTGCTCTGGGCCTTTTCTAACAAATTCAGAATGGTAACCAACATACCTATCACCCAGTTTCAACATTATTATTTATGGTTAGCTTTGTCTACAATCTGTATCTCAGTCACCTTTCCTGTATGTTTTGAAGAAAATCCCAGACTTACATCTTTCTTTTTCCCTGTAGAATTTTTTTGGTGACAGTTTTAAATGTATGGAATAACTTGAAAATAGTTTCCTATATGCCATATTCATTTTTTCCATTATCATATTAGTATATTCGTTAGAATTGATGTTGATACATTGTTAACCAAAAGCCATAGTTTATTGAGATTTCCTTGGTTTTTACCTATTGTCCATTTTCTTTTTTTTTTCTTTTTTTGGAGAGGTTTTTGCTATAGTCGCCAGAAAGACAGAGACAGAAAGCAAGAAATCACCCCCTCAAGGGGATGGCCACACCACAATCCCTTCTCCATTCTCTTCTTGGGATCTTGAGCATGCATACACACACACACGAGCCAGGTATGATTTTAAGACACCGGGTCCGGGCCTCGAACCGTAGTCACCTACATGGGAGTCCAGCAACAAAGCCATTACTCTAACTGCTGGTCCAACCTATTGTCTGTTTTCTAAGCTACATCTCATTGTCCTGTCTCCTAGGCTTTTCTGGACTGTGGCAGTTTCTCAGACTTCTCTTGCTTTGATGACCTTAATAGCTTCTAAGAGTACTGATGAGGCCTTTATAGGGTGCCACACCATTAGAATTTGTTCTTTTTCTCATGATGTGAATGGAGTTATTAGAAGGAATACCAAGAGGAAAAGTGCCATTATCATTCCAGTGTATCTAGTGTACATCCGATGAACATGATTTATGACAATTGATGTTGGACTTAACCATCTGGCTGATAGTGTTTATTAGATTTTTTTTTTTTTTTTTTTTTGCTGTAAAGTTTTTTTTTTCCTTTCCTACCCTGTTTTGCATACTATACACTTGGGAAGGAAAAGCCATCATGTGAAGCCCACGTCTAATGAGTAGGGAATTATCTTCCTCCCTGAGGGTAGGGTATCTGTCACCACCCCATTCAAAACAAAAATTCCATTCAGAAAACTCCTCTGTGACAAAGAAACTAACCACCTTTTGTGGTTCTGATGGCTTGCAGGAACCAAGCCAAGAGAGTTGGAAAATCCAAACTATAGAATCAACTCAAACCCATTTTGTGACAACAGCTTTACATCCTATAAAAGTGACATGGTGAGAGAGGAAAACACCCCTACCCCGCAATGAGACATGGTTTCTCTGCAATCCTTTTCCTTCCCTTTCCCCAGCAGGTCAGGATTCTGGATGTGCATGCACACGCCCATCATGTTTTTTAAGCTTCAGAACTTGAACCTTGGTTGCCATGTGGGATCTGGCTTCCAATGCACTGGGCCTAACCATTGTGCTAGGGGAGAGGTCCATTATATATGTATTTTAAAAGATTAAGACATTAAAATAATATTGAAATTTATCTTACCTTTAAAAATATTTCTTAATATATTAGTATTTAAATTTTTGAGATAACTTTAAATATTGTACAAATCAGGATCAAAACAAGATCCTTTATTTGTACTCAGTGGTATTTTTTTTTAAAGTTAGATCCTATTCTTGCAATTTATTCTTTTTTTTTTTTTTACTTTTTTTTGGGGAGAGATTTTTGCCATAGGGTGCGTGCGCTTGCCAGATAGACAGAGAGAGACAGAAAGACAGAAAGCGAGAAATCACCCCCCAGGGGGGATGGCCACACAGCAATCCCTTGTCCTCCATTCTCCTCTTGGGATCTTGGGCATGCACGCACACACACCCGGTGTGAGTTTTAAGCCACTGGGTCCAGGACATGAACCGTGGTCAATCAGGTGGGAGTCCAGCGACATAGCCATTACGCTAACTGCTGGTCCCTCTTGCAATTTATTGAAGTAACTGTGTAGCTTCTGTCAACTCTCAATTTTGTTGATTACATCCACTTGGCAACAATACTTCCTGTGATTGTTTCACTTTGGGAGATCTTAAGCTTTTTTTTTTAATTGTGACTTGTTTACAAATAAGTATCTTAGTGGTATACAGTATGTTTTTTTGAAGTATGCATATAGTGTGTAATGTATAGGAGATACTAAGATTGACCTAGTAGGCTCAAGTATTGTCATCCTCATCCATACATTATAAAGTTTTCCATTAGCATTTCATCTAATGGCAGTAGTCTCATAGATGATTCTTACCTAGATCCATTATTAAGGTTTGCAAAATGGTGATCATCTATCTTTTCTTTTGTAGTTCAGAGAATTCTATAGAAATTATTTTCTACCTCAACTATTTGAGATGCAGTTTTTAATAGGAAAATAGGATGTTTGATTCTCTCCCTCATCAGTTCAGAATGTGATGATTCCTTAACATCTTCCCAAGACGGGCAATGACCTTAAAAAAAAAAAAAATTAACATTTTCATTGATTTTTTTTTTGAGAGATTTTTCATGTGCACTGGCTGGAGAGACAGAAAGTGAGAAATTCCACACACACACCCCCCCCAAGGAGGGTGGGGAGGGAGCACGCTGCAATCCCTTCTCCTCCATTCTCCTCTCTGGATTTTGGCCATGCACACACATGCCTGACACGCCTAGCATGAGTTTCAACCTGCTGAGTCTGGGATTCGAACCAGGGTCGACTGTGTGGGAATCTGGCACTTTAACCATTCTGCCACCTGCTAGCCCCATTTTCATTGATTTAAAAAAAAAAAAAAGTTGATGTGTTTCAATTAATTGCTGTTATTATTTTTGAATGCCAAAATTGTCCTGTCTGATGGTTTGGAACACCTTTGAGCTGGAATCTTCAGTCTTTTGGACACAACTCCTATTTTTATTTTGCTTTCTGGTACATCAACATGTCCTAGGCTGTCTTGCACATTTCTGTCTCCAGACTTGGAATCAGCCCTTGATTTCCAAGAGGTGCCCAACTTTTGGTGGGAAACAATATTTACAAATAATAGTCTGTAGAATATGGATGTGCACTGGGTTGGTCATTGTTCTAGGACTTTTCAGGAGATGGACTTTTTTTCTTTCTTTCTTTTTTTTTTTTTAACTTATTCTGTAGGTTCAGATGTGCGAGAGAGAGAAATAACTGCATCCAATTAGGGTCTTGACACCTTGAGCCACCTTCAACTTCAGCCAGCCCCAGATTATGGGCACATGCATGCCAGCATATTCAGGACCATCTCCAGACTTTAACTTGCAATCTTCCCATGTGGCTCTGCCTTGTGGAGCTTCTAGTTTTACCACTTCACCAGCATATGCAGGCCACCATGCCTCTTGTAAAAGCAGGATTTCTCCTGTCCCATCCTCCTGCCTCAGTCTGTGATTATCTGAGACAACAGTTGTGTGCCATAGGGCCCAGATTTTAGGGTCAGTTGGAATCCAGCTGGGCCTCCCATGTGGCCTCAGCCTGCCAAATAGCAGTGACCAGGACATTACCACAGTTGGGCCAACTTTTTATGGGAGAAAACAGAATTCATAATAAGTTCATTCTGATATAGGTTTGCAAATATTATCAATTTCTTTGATTTTTATATTTGTATTTTTCCTGCTAGTGAAAAGCTTAGTTCCCAAAGACATATGCATAGCATAAAGCATATTTAGTACAAATTCAGAACCGTTATTACTGACAATGTGAATACTGAAACAGCATACGATTTCTTCAACTTTTCTTCCCTGGGAAGAGTATCTCACTAGAAATGTGAGATTCGTTTATTGTTTTAAATTCAAATCATTGTTTACTGACATAGGCTGCAAGAATGTATTTTAATGGAGTACCTTCCTTTAAGGAGGAAGATGGTGTTTCCTGTTGAAAGGTAAGAGGAAACATTTAATGGAGCTGTATTTTTTTTCCCCCAGCAGTTACTATCAGAACGGTAGTAAAGTTTGCTTTATAAACTCTTGCATTGAAGATTCATCTGAATGAACTATTTTCCTCATGATTTGTTCGTAAGGAGTTTTAAACTAAAAAACACGTTTCGCTGGAGGGAGATTTGCAAAAACCTCCACAGACTGCAACTGCTCACCATTTTTCTCTGGATCCATCTAGGCAACTGGAGACGGTACACTTTTTTGTTGCCAAGTTGCGTGTTGGGATACCCAGCCAGGAGTGGACTCCCTGCCCTTAAGGAGCCCGCAGCCAAGTGCTGAGACAAGCGCCCCTACGGTTTATTATTAAACAATGGCTGCAGGAGCCACGTTGAAGACGCGTCGAACGCAGTGTTATGGAAACCCCAGAGGTCTCTCCCAAGGACGAACTGTCAGACGAAGAGGTAGACCGCCCCTGCTGACTCAACCCACGTCAGGTGCAAGGTTTGCGCGTCAGAGCTGGGAAGCCACAATTTCGAATTCTTTTTTATGACTTTATGCCTCTGACTCATACGAGTACGGGCCAAAGGGTAAGGAGGGCTCTCCAACGAGCATTTCTTACAAAAGGAACCTGCTTGGACCAGGCGGGGACGCGAGACCCTACGGGAGAAGGGCGGAAGCCGCGGGGGGCCAGGTGCGCAGGGGCGTGGGCGCGGCCCGAGGCTGAGGGCCAGGCCAGGCCCCCAGGGCGCGAGGCCCCAGGGCGCGGGGCG